GAAATCACTATATAATGTTTAGCTGACAATATTGTATTTTTGTCACATTGAGGTTGCAGAGATTGTGATTAAATTACATTTTGATACAATTCATTCAGCCTGTTTCAGGTTAGGGGCGGACATGCTCGCACCTCTGCTGAATTGCACTGGCTACAGTGGGAATTTGTCATCAGCAGGTATATTTATGGCTGAGACCCGCTGAACACGTAGCCAATCACAGCAACTGTCCTGTGTTACAAACGCCACAAGGCTCTGTACACAGTAGACATGTGCAGAACAGAAAAATGTGTTTCATTTCTGATGAATTGTCACTAATTTCAATTTGTGGGTTTGTTTCAGAATTTGTTTTGCTTAATTTATTCATTTTCTAACGTATTCCAAATTTTCAGAATGATTGGAATCGGACGAAAATGTAATCGACCTATCCGAATTGTGTGTGAAGGATAGCTGGTTGTTAAGGAGAGGGCCAGGAAACCAGCCACAGTGTCCTTAACCAATGACTGATCAGCTGTCAGTCGATTTCACCACTGACAGCTGAATGTAAGCAAAAAAATGTCAGCAATGAAAAAGAAATAAAAAGCTGCATGGGGCCCTTGGGGTCTGGTTTGGATTTTAAGGGTGTGGGGTGTAACAGTTGTGCATACTGGGCACACAAATAGCTGTGTGTGTACCAGCCATTTTATTCACGCCACCAGTCTCCTGTGCCATTTCATCATAAGAAGGCATAGAACAGTGCCCTTCGACCCCCGTCCACCCCACAACTTCCTTCGGTTAATAAAATACACAACTGTTAACTGATGCCAGAGCCTTCGTATCAGACCAGGACAGATACAGGCCCTCTCATGCCTGTTAGCCAAATCCACACTCCAGTCTGGGAAACCCTAAAAAAAAAAAACAAAAAAAAAAACAAAAAAAAAAACTGTCACCCTCGAAAGCTTAAGCAATCTGGAGAACTAACAGATATCGGTCAGAAATAGCTCAGCTGACGAGAATGGCCAATATACCTCCCTGATAGACCTGCTATCAGCCAACACTCTAAAACTTCAGTATATTTAATAACTCACTAAATACAAACAGCACAGCCATAGTAAGGACATATTTACTTCCCTCAGTTAATGTGGAGCATTTTGAGCCGCTACCCTAAGAGTACTGGGAGCAGAACCAGCCCAATTCCTCTCCTAGGCAAACTGGGCATCCAAAATTTGTCATTTATATTCATTGTGAAGCTAAATTCAAGCTGGACAAAAATCTGCATGTTAGACTGTACCCAGTAGGTATTCAGAGATATGAATACCTATAGAAAATGGTTTCTTGGACATAATCATAAACCTAGTGACATCCCAGAAACCACTCCTCAGATAATTAATTGGTCAGATGGCCTCTGTCAACACCCCTTTGATGCCACAGAAAAGGAGAATACCAGGACAGTTTGACAGCTCTCATTTAAAAATCAAACCAAGGTACAACTGTCAAGTCATATGAGAGCCAATGAACTGTCTTGCTTGAGCGATTAGACTCCGCTAAAACCAAAGACTCTGCAAGTATTTACCCTTTTCAACTCTTTGTCTTGCTGTTGCTTGTTCTCTGTTTCTGTGTAACACCCTCTTACGTACATATTTTATTTGCACCATTTTGATATTTTCCATTAGTAAACTCTGTTTTGAGAAGTGTTGAAATTGTCTGTAAGGCTTTTAATGCAAACTAAAAGAATCCTCATCTCTTGAACAGTGCTACTGTAGAATAAATCTCTGAACATACCAGTCTGTGGTGACAGTGCATGTTACAGACATTTATTCTAAAATCACAGTTATTGCTACGGTTGCAAGTTTCCTCCTCAGTAAAAAGGTGGCGGTGGCAACTTAAAGGGTTAATTGCTTAATTAACTTAACCAAGTGACAATCACTCTCAGGCTCCTGTCACCTAGAGTTTGGTCCTAGAAGCTAGAAAATCTTTGTGCATGGTACAGCTGAGAGTAGCAGTGTTATGCAATTGACAGCATGGTATGAGATTTGGCCAGTCCTTTATCATGAATTGGTAAGAGCAAGGGTTGGGCACCGCATTCATCACATATTGGCTGGCAGTGCAAGTTGGTAAAGTTATGCCTTAGAGCATTCAGTGCAGCGTTAGGAATTAGCTTTGCACTGAATGAGTGTAACTTTTGTGGAAACTGTCCTTATAGATAGGCCAGTTCATGTTTTAGTTTTTTTTTTTTTTTTTTCTAAAGAGATACACAGCAACAGTTCCTTCCTATCTTTTTCTGTTCTTTTAGCAAACATGCCTGGGTTAGCAGAGTACAAGAAAATGAGAAAAAATGATTTATGTTGAGTGTGAAGCAAGAGGAATGAACGTCAATGCAAAAAAGAATTGTGAAAGCCTGATTTATGCCCTACAGGAGGAGGATATCTGAGCAGACCATCGGGGAACCTGGAGCCAAAGGGGTTCCCAGAGCCCAGTGGTTCAGATACGGTCTCGCAGGACAGGCAAACCGAGACTAACACTGGGGTATCAATAAGTCAGCACCAGAGTGCCTTTACCTAACAGACTCCTCAAATGCAGAGAGCACTACAATGCATCAGGGAGGTGAATCCTCTGGTGTACCTGCAGTTTCTGGAACACCAGGCTGAGCGAGAGGAGAGCAGGGCTGAGGCTGAGAGAGGCTGCGCAGAGGGAGGATGATTGCCGGTATGAACTGGAGATGGCTAGGCTCCAGCAACAGGCTCAGAACCTCAGGTCACTAGGGCACAGGAAAGCCTCTCTGCCTGTGAGCCCACTAGCCAAAATTTCCCATAATGGAAAAGGACAGAGACATTGACGCGCATCTTCTGTCGTTTGAAAAAACTTGCCGTCAGTACCATCTACCCCAAGCACAATGGGCTCGGTACCTGACACCAGGGCTGTGAGACAAGGCCTTGGATGCTTATGTCAGATTGCCAGCAGAGCAGGACAATTATGAGGCCATGAAGGATGCAATCATCCAAACGTATCAGTTAACTCCGTAAGTGTACCGGAAGCAATTTAGGTCCTTGCAAAAGGGACTTGGGGACTCATACATGGATGTTGTAAGTTGCTTATGCACCACATTCCGGCGCTGGACTAGAGGCTTGAAAACTGGTTCCTTTGAGCGAATCCTGAACCATGAAATCCTCCAGGGACTCATACAACTCTGTCCTATGGACTTCAGACAGTTTGTGTTGCCAAAGCAGCAGAACTGGCAGATACCTACAGTATATCAACACAGTCTTTGGTGTCCCACCAATCTCAACTGACACCTGCAGATGCTACAGCTGTGAAAAACCTGGAAATCTCAGGACTCCATGCCATGAAAAGATGATTCCACCTGGCCAGCTACTCATCCTCCATGCTGTTCGTCCACAGAAACAAATTTTTTTTTTTTTACTGGACAATGTTTAATAGCAAAAAGTCAAATGTTTTTTTTTTTCTCAAAATTGTATTTTTTTTATTGCACAAAAAAACCCCCCCAAAAAAAACCAAAAAAAAAAAAAAAAATATGCACAGGTGATCAAATACCACCGAAAGCAAGCTCTATTCGTGGGGGAAAAAAAAAAAAAAAAAAAGTAAATTTAATTCGGGTACAGCATTGCATGACTGTCCAATTTTCAGTTAAAGTAACGCAGTGCCATAATGCAAAAAATGGCCCTGTCAGGAAGGGGGGTAAATCCAAGTGGTTAAGGACAATTTCCAACAAGGAGCCTCTTTTCTGCCCATATCTGGACTGCACATGTCCAGTCGGAGGAATGTGGACTGTGGCTAGATTAAAAAAAAAAAAAGAAAAAAAGTCAGAGCATCCCTTTATCTCGGCTGTTTGGAAATTGAGACAGCCTAGCATGTAGGTAGAGCTCAAGTACATAAAAGAAACAAAGAATACATGTAACATGTGGCTCCTAAATGTCAGGAAGGTGGCAAAAGGTCACAACAGTTGTATATTTAAAGACTTGTTAGCAGGGTTCAGTAAGGTTGGGCACTACTTGAAGCCTATTAAAATTTTGCTGACAGTGACAGACAGCATTTCAGTTAAGATCTACGTGTGACAGCAGACTGGAAAGTTTTCTTTACAGGCTTTAACAACACTGTTTGACGCTTGCTGAAAGCTTTCCAAATGCTTGCTGTACACCGTGCTCTTGCACAAGCTGAAGCCCAATGTGTACAAGCCTAAAAGGGATGTAGAAACGTCAGCTTTACTCATTAAAAACTGCACAAAGTGGGTATATTGAAGGCCATGCTTTCAATTCAGAAATTAATTGTTGAAAAGACAAAATAAAATTTTTCAAAAGAAAGATAAGTATCAATTTGCAAAAACCCATTCCCAATTACATATTTTATGTAATAGGGATAGCTTTGTCCCTCTCAATATGTTTTATTACTCCAGAATCCATAAATCCATTTATTTTAAAAAATAAGGCTTCTTTCACACTGGCACACTGATAAAAATCTGCATCAACCACCTCTTCTTACTTCCCCCTGGTCACCCATGTGAAAGGAGCTGAAGGCAAACATGGAAGCACCAGGCCTCAATCAATTATTAAAACAATTCCAGGTTGTACTCTCGATGTGACCATATTTTATGAGAACAGAAGCACAGCAGAGAGTAGTAGTAATCTAATGGCAAAGATATTTTGTTATGGTCATTGCTGCAACTTCTCTACATACAAAACAACTTATGCTGTTAATTCAAACACCAAAACAAATAAGAATTAGAACATGTTTATTTTCTTTACAAATAATTTTAATACAAAAAAAATAAAAAAAAAAAAAAAAATCACAAAGAACTGACCAACCAGTGATCTCTCAAATTATTGTGCTGATCTGTTGTAAGCCTTGTGTGAGGGTGCCTTCTATTACAAAAATTTATACATATATTTATATATGTATTAAAAATACAAACTTTATACAAGTGCTAAAATGCTGTATATAAATAGATTTATAGCATAAAAAAGAAAAAAAAAAAATATACAAAATATATTGAACCGCTCCCAATGTGGTTATTTCCGTGCATATTTTAACACGTGGCCGTTCTGGTGAGGAGCCTGTGGAGAAAAATTTTTAGCGATTAGGCATGTTTTTTTTTTACTCTACAAAAAAAAAAGCTCTTATTGAGAGAAACGCATCAGTAGGAGCGCCTAGGTGCTCTGTCTAGCATCAGAAATATACAGTGGCTAAAGGTTAGGAGAGCAGCTCTGCTTCCTTTTGTTTATGTACGTTTAATATCACAGGGAACAATGGAAAAAAATCTAGTCCTAGCAATGCAATTCACAAATTAAACATTTGGCTTACGCCATTTAGTTTACAAGCAATACAAAACTGCCAACTGCATAACAGATAAATGGCGGCAGGGCGGCTCTTCTGCGCTTGATCACGTACTAGGTATGTGATCTGCGCCCCGGGCAGGGGACACGCGCTGGCCCGGCGGTGCTGTAATTCGGTACAGCACTGATCAGTCATCAGGTCCAGGCTAATTAATTTTGTCCTGGACCCGTTGATCGGTTATAACAAATTAATTTGCTACCCACAGATTCTGCAGCACTTGTATATCCCCCATTCATTGCCCAATCTGGAATAAAGGTGGAAACCGCTAAATTTAACTACTCCCATTGATTTTTTTTCTTTTAGCAGTTTTTCACGGAAGATTTGTATAATCTGATTGTGGACAAAGCAATTTATATGCGGACCAGTACATCGCCGCCAACTCAAATTCGTACCTTATCAGACAACTGAAATGGAAACTTATCATGGTTTAGGAGTTTACATTATTTTGGGCCTAACCTTTAACATAGGCATTACACCCTGTTCCAAATTATTATGCAAATTCTATTTAAGTGTCACAAAGATTAAATATTTTGTTTTTCAGTTTAACTCATGGATGGCATTGTGTCTCAGGGCTCTTTTGATCACTGAAAACAATCTTGGACACCTGTGATAATTAGATTGGCAGAAGAAGAAATGGACAAGGTCACAATCTCTCTCTTAAGAGTGCCTATCGGCAAGTTCTGGTCAATCCTGATTGCAGGAAGGTCAGCATGTGAGGCACAGAAAAATCTATGAAGTTAAAGTGATGGTATTCACACCAAAGGAGTATTTTCAGGTACCATATCTTTTTAGAAGTGAATTTTCTTGCTTTGTAGCAATGTGGGAATGAGAAACTCAGATAATTCAGTCCCTCAAGACCTGGGCTTCAACAGCCATGCTGTTAAAAGTCAGTGACTAAGAAGCAGGATGGAAAAGGAGGCCTTGCGAAAGCAAGTCTGATCACGTTTAGACGCAGCCAGAGGTCAGTTGCTAGAAGTCTGAGCTCATCTGGGCCAGTTTAGTGCAATGAGAATCACTGGTTTCTTCTTTTGCTTTATTGTGTGGAGCATTTGAGGCAGAATTTGCATTGGAGAAAAGGCATAGGCAAGCCTGAACTGTGTCAAAGGAATTATCAGCGCATCCATTGCCAGTGCTAGAGGATCCTTGGTGCTGGCCACAGACAGAGGTAATTTGAATCTGAAAGCCAGGATATCAATGTCCAGGAGCCCCCAACTCTGACATATCAAGTTTAGGATGTCGGCGTGAAGGGCCTGTTACCCTTGGTCCAGGCAGTAACCACTGAGGAAATATGCTTTGCAGTTGTCCACTCTGGGGAAGTAGAAAGTGGAGGTCGCTGGATAGTGTTTTCTCCATACAAGAGATGATCGGGCTTGCTTCTCTCAAAGCTACATGACTCCTAAATGTTGGTGAGGAACTTGGCTGCCTCTGGTGATCATGTTTCCTGAACTGTGAAGGATTTTTAACAGTCCCCCCCCCCCCCCCAGCCTGGGAGACTGGCATCTGTTGCTGTGCCCTTCCAGTGATATGGTAGAAACAAACTTTCCTATCATCAAGGCTGTGTAGGAAATGCAAAAATCTAGGGAGCTCCTTGCTTGGCTGGATAGGCACATAGGCAGGTTAAAAAAAAGCAGCATATGTTTGTTCCTTATCTAAAAGATGTTGTTTGGAAGGGCCTTGAATGGAATTGGTCGAATGGAACAGCCTAGAACTCCCATGGAGAATCTCAGAAGGATGTTTCTTTCATCTCATGGTCCAGGTGTGAGATGTGAGAGAGATGAGTTTGTTTCTGGAAGAAAGACTTTGGCTTGGGCTGTGTCTAGAATGGAGGCCTAAGTGTTCCAGGCAAAAGGAAGGTTGGAAAGCAGTATTTCTTAAGCCGATTGCCTGACCAAAAGCCTAAATTTTGACTTGCCTGTAAATGCCATATCTTGGAGTACAGAACACAGGCAAATTATTTATACACCATGGGTTATAGGCTTGTACCTTCAGATGACTGGACATTGGCAAGCTTTTGAGGATGCACCCACTTGGGGCAACTCCCCAATAACCCTACCCTACTCCGCGAGTCCTTAAGTTTTGTAGCAAGCAATGCAGAACAACAAGACGTTAGGAAGGGTGGCCTGTACCGTGCACAAAGATACAAAATTTACAGGTAGCTGTATTAAAAGGTTAGCTCACCTTTTTGTTTTTTCTCAAAATGTGAACTAACACTGTACACCCTTCCCTGGCCCCTGCTGCCCTTGCCTGTATGGGTAATAAGCAGTCAGTGCCCACAGCTGGTATAGCAGTTGGGGGATTTGAGAAAAATATCTGCTGTTCTCCCCTATTGTCTGTGCCAGTGCTGACCAATAAGAATTGCTTTGACCCATTGTGCTGAAGAAAGACGGTGGAGGAGGAAAAGAGTAAGGATTTCTAATGCATGCACACTGACAGTTCTTCACCCATGGAGGAAGGGGGGGGGGGGGGGGTTGGAAGGGTGTATGGTGTTAATTCACCTTTTCATGTTTTTCTGAAAAAGTTAAAATTACACTTTAAAGCTGAGGAATTGTGACATAGGTGCAGAAAAATCTGCCTTGGTCAAGTAGGCTGCGCGTTGCGTGCCTGAGATAGAGCTGGAAAATAGTGCTCAAATGTGGTTTAAGTCTTCTGCAGGTCTTCGGCAGAGCGAATGTTTGCCTGAGATTTTGCCGTGGTTCCCTTTCAGCTAGTTTCCATCGTTGCCATCAGTGAGCGTATTCCTTTGTGGAACTCATGGAGTAGGGTGTGGAAATAACGTACGTAGCATACACAGCAAACCGGTGGTGATCGTTCTGTAGCAAAGTTCTTGTGGTAAAAGGGAGAGAAAGTGACTGAATAGCTAATAAAAGGACTCTAGGTAGATAGATATGAAAGCAGGGTGTGTTGTAACACCTGGTCAGTCACCTGAGACTAAGCTCTGAGTGGTTGATACTTGGTGCAAAATTTAAACAAAAAAAAAAAAAAAAAAAGTTACACACACACACACACACACACACACACACACACACTCCCAGTTTTCTGATAATTTTAACATGTAAATCAATACTATGCAGGATAAACAATTTGTGTAAAGCAAGTAATAGAGCTATTATGTCTTATACTTGGCTGTGGGAGTACAGTAATGGTCAAAAAGGGTGACCTCTTTATTACAGGTACTTATTACCTGTCCATTTCACTGATCCCCAAGTAGTACCTGTCATGGTGGGCATTCCCCCAAAGGGTCTTCAGGGTCTGCGTTCCATAGGGATGGACCAGGGCCCCTAGACCTGTACAGCACCTTCTGGGAAACTACACGCATTGTGAGAAGTGCCGAAGTGAGAGACCATGTAGGATCCAGTGCTGAGGAAACATGACAGGCCATCACCACTTTGGCAAACATTCATGGGTCATGACATAATTTGCCTGCCTCTATGCCTCAGCCAATAAGGGAAAGCTTTGTATTCATTCATAGAATACAAAGCTCCCTGGATATAGCGAAGCAGCACTCAGCCCAACTACTTTGTTCCAGGAGTGAGATGGATGGGAAGTTCCCATCCCACTGCCAGAAGACAGTGCTGTATCCTGTATGTAGCTGATGCTACATATAGTTTATATAGTACTCCCATCCGCTGCATCTAAAAAAGGTAGTCGTTCATTTGGACCAACTTGGTCCAAACAAACTATTTTAACGTCACTAAAAGCTGAAGATCAGCTCTAAATTTGGACAACTGGGTGAAGGTCTGCTGTAACAGACAAAAACCACTACCCTGTTCCTGTTTGACCTGGAAAACCATCTGGCAATACTATCCAAGAGCAAGGTTTAACTGTTGGGATCTTACCATTTTGAAGTCCACCTAGTCTCCGCTGGACCAACTCTAGATGATGGATATACTCTGTAATTGAATGTTCAGGATCTCGAGAGGTGTATGGAGATCTCTCGGGTGTTAGGGTAGGCGAGTGACCATTCCTGTCAAAGAATTAAAATAAATAAATGTAATCAAAAACACTTTGCTAACTTTCACACAGCCTCATACTAATGCCACAATTAGAAATGCATTTACTAACCGTCTTGATGTACAGAACAATGGTTTTGGAGATGGAGTACCAAGAAAAGAAGAATTATGGGGGTGACCATATGCTACATCACGGGTTGGAGGTGAGTTTAATAAAGTACCACTCAGGTGTTGTAAAACTTCTGTTCTGTTCATTTGTACTGAAAACAAATTTGGGAATAAGTCAAACCATTACCACAAGTCCACAGAATGTTAGCAAAATCACAAATGGAACAGTTGGAAATGTAGGACAACAAGCTTATTCAATAAGAGCAAATGTCAAAAGTACAGTGACCCATAACAGAAATATGATATTGGACTTCATTAAAATAGGATTTCTGTACTCACTGTAAAATCCTTTTTGTGGAGCCTATTGAAGATCACAGAAAGAAGCCTTTTACCTTTGGGCTAAACCACCACCTACAGGAGGACTGGATACTGGCAAACAAAAAAGCCCAGGATAACCCTTCCTACTACCCAAATGTTTCAGTTTTGTAGCAAAGCAGCATCAAAAGCATGATCATAACACAGACGCATGGGACCCGTGTCTGCAAAGTCGATACCAAGAAATGATGTCATGGAGAATACAAAACTCCTGTTTTCTTTTATGTCCATTGACGGACACAGGCTTTAATCTTCATGATGTCCAAAAGCAATCCATCTAAGGGGTCGGCAACACAGCAATTGCTGAGAGACCTAAGGAAAAGAAACAGAAAAGCTTGGGATTGCTTGCATCTCAAAGAGCTGGTGAGGCCCTCTCACCAGAAAGTGGCATCAGATGAGTCCAAAACATCCACTTGATAAAACTTAGAGAATGTGTGAAAAGAAGACCAGGTGGAAACGTTGCAAATATGGAAAACAGTTGCTGGATGCCAAAAAGCAGACCAGGTACAGTGCCCCATAGACAGTATAGGATGGAACCGGATCCTTGAGAGCATAAGCGTTGAAGATTGTTTGCCTAGAGTTGATGGAACAAGAAACCAGTGCACCCTCACAGTGTCCATCCGGAATGACAAACTGAATCAGTTTTCTTGATATAAGCAGAGGCTGAATACGTGCATCCAGACAATGCAAGGGAATTTTCTTTTAAAAACCTGACTTGTGGCCTTGTTATCTCTCCTTTCCTTCTGTAGAGCTCTGTGTCCTGTTTTTTTTTTTTTTTTTTTTTTTTTTTTTAACATTTCTTAATTTATTTTTAACATGGGTGGGATTGCATGGAATCTCCCTTACAGTGGTATGCCCCCCATATACATTTGCAATATATTTGCATACTACATATCACTAGCTGAGTCTCAGCATGAATACTTATTGGTCTTTATGGTTATATCAGATGTGTGAAAATGTTTTCAAAAACTATTTGTCCAAAGGACAAAAGACTAAATCGGGGTCCCAATCCACTTAGTCAATCCCTCATGACAATCTACTTTTTTTTTTTTTTTTAAAGTGTTTATGACCTACCTGATAGGTCAAGGGAGAAGGTGAGTGTATGGTGCACCTATTCGGTGATGGGAAACACTACGGTTTAGCCTGCATGGTGGAGAAATGCGAGCATTTGATTACTGCATTTTGGAGCACGTTTTCTCTTTTAATGTGAGTGCATATATCTTTGTGCACATAATTTACAAATTTTTAAAAACTGTGTTGCACCACGGTATATATTTTTGCTTTTTCTGCACGGTTTTGGAGCTAAAGGTCCAATGAAGATATAGCATGTGGAAGGAACACTACATAGGTTAAAAATCTGGAGGCTACTTATGTCCCTTAGTGGCTGTGGGCTTGTAAGTTTTCAATGAACTACCATGGCACTGTGGTAGTTCATTGAAGCGTCCTGTCAGAATATCTTCTTGCTCGTACATCCCATACGGCAAGCAGATATTCTGACAAGTCAAAGAAGAAAGAAAAAAGTGCATTTATTATTTTCGTCTATTTTTATTTTTTAAAAAATGGAGTGTGCCTTCACCTGAAAGGGTGGGATTTTACCTTTCAAACCATAGGCTTGAATGATCAATTGGCGGATCCAATGTGAAATAATTGCCTTGGATGCCGCCTACCCCTTCCTAGGCCCCTCTGGCAGCACATCAGAGCATCTGACCTCCTGACCTGTGCTGTCACCTTCAGGATAAAATGGCAATTAAAAGGTTAATTTCCCAAATCTGTGGCATTTTAAATTGCAATTATTGTCTGTGTATAAATGGTCAATTAGTTTGTTTGCGCTCATGTGGATGCACTGAGCAGGCTAAATAATGAGCCATGGGAAGAAGAAAATAAAATAAAGGAACTATATAAATGATGGAAAAGGACAAAGATATCCAAAGCCTTGAATGTGCCAGACAGTACTGTTTAATCACTGACTAAGAAGTGGAAAATTTGGGGATCTCTATAGGTGAACGGACACAGTCTGACCAATCAGAGGAGGTCCACCCCTATATAACCCCTCCTGCACAGGAAGTACTTCAGTTTTTGTAGCAAGCAATGAAATTTCAGAAAGAGGGGAGGGACCTCTGTGTCCTGTTATGTACTCCAAGAAATGGAATTTACAGGTAAGTATCTAGAAAAAAATCCAGTTTTCTTTATTGCGCATCACAGGACACAAAGCAGGCTATTCATGACTATGTGGGATGTCCCAAAGCAATAAAGAAATTTGACGGGAGGGGGACACCATGATAGCTGCCGTGCAGAGGGTAGGGCCCTACCCTGTGACGTCACTCCGCACAGCCCACGTGGACGGCCGGCAGCCATTTTGGTTGCTGTCAAACACCAGTCTGTGAGTGTATATGCTCTCTTTTGCCATCCTTTTATTTTCAACAAAAGTACTACACTATTGGAGATTTCTCTCTCTGGCTTGTTCATTGCGAGCTCCCCCTCTAATCCTTCAGGACCTACTCAGCTGCCTCTGCAGCTCTGAATGCGTGAACAAAAGACCATGTAGCGGCCTTACAAACTTGAGCCACTGACGCCTGATAGTGGATAACCCAAAACATCCCCCCTCCTCACTCCTGGTAGAGTGTGCCTTCATCAAAAAGGGTGGGATTTTACCTTTCAAACCATAGGCTTGAATGATCAGTTGGCAGATCCAATGTGAAATAGTCACCTTGGATGAAACCTGCCCCTAGGTCCCTCTGGCAGCACGGACAAAGCATCTGACCTCCTGACTTGTGCTGTCACCTTCAAGAAGACCCTTACAGTGCGTACCACATCCAAGGTATGCAGAGATCTCTCTCATGCTGACTGAGGCCTAGAAAAGAACAAAGGCAGAACGATGTCCTGATTGAGATGAAAACTAGAAACCACCTTTGGTTAAAAAAAAAAAAAAAAAAAAAAAAATCAGCTGAGGTTGCAACACCACTTTATCATGATGAAAAACCAGAAATGTTTCTCTGCAAGACACAGCTCCGACACCCTTCTTGCAGTGATTGAAGTGATTGCCACTAGAAACAAAACCTTACGAGTCAATAGGACCGGTGGAATCTCTCTAATCGGTTCAAATGTTGGTTTTTGCAAAACCTCCAAAACCAAGTTCAGGTCCCAAGGACACAAAGGCAACCTGACAGGCGGAGCAATACACTATTATTCCCTTTAAAAAAGGGAACATTATTCCCTGTAAAAAAGTGTGAACCAAAGAGTGAGACACAACGGGCCTCTGAAAAAGACAATAGCTAATGCTGAAATCTGTCCCTTAATGGTACCAACAGCCAATTTCTTCTGCAACCCTCTTTGAACGACAAAATCCTACCAGTCACATACTTTTCTGGGTGACATTGAAAGGCTGGCTTTGGTGGTTACCAACTTCCACACCACTGGCCGAAAGGATCTTCCTCTCTCCAAATTGTGAGTCAACAACCACCAATTCAGGCTTCACAGTACCTCTGGAGACAGATTTGCAGTAATGCAAGGCCGGAATCTTCTTGTTCCAAACAGACAGAATGTACCTTTGCAGCAGACTGGAGTGGAATTGGGCATAGGAAATAGCCTAAAACGAGGACACCATCTTCCCTAGCAACCTCAAAGAGGCAAATTGAAGGATCTCTCTTTACTTTTAAACTACAAACCTCGTTGCTCAGGGCACAACGTTTTCCTGGAGGCAGAAATACTCCTGCCTGGACATCATGCGACCATCTCCAAATACTCCAGGCTCTGCACTGGCTCCAGGGCCGACTTCTTGAAGTTGAGCACCCAGCCCAGCTGTTCCTAGGATCTGCATCGTAAGAACCATATCCTGCTTCAGACCTTGCACTGACTGACCTCTGAGCAAGAGATAGTCTAGATAACCCATGGCCGATACCCCCACCCCCTGAGTTCTGAGTAGCCCTAACACCGGAACCAGAATTTTTGTGAAAACTCTGAGCCGTGGCCAGCCCAAACGGCAGTACTTCTAACTGGAAATGCTAAGCCCCTACTGGAAACCGCAGAAATGGTGAGGAATGAATATCGGCACATGCAGGTATGCATCCTTGAGGTCTATGGAAACTAAAAAAAATCTACTTCCTGTAAGGAGGTCACTACTGACCGAACCGATTCCATACAAAAAGAAACTGATTTAGCCTCATGAGGTCCAAAATGGGTCTTACATCCCCATTGGCTTCGGGACTATAAACAGGTTTGAATAAACACCCCTGAAACCTTTCATTCACTGGAACCTCCGTGATCACCCCCTGAGACAACAGGCAATCGAGTGCCTGAAATAAAGCTTCTTTTCTCTAGATTTATTGGTACATTTGATTATAGAAACCGGGGAGGGGGAAAGACCTGAAATTCCAGTCTGTACTCCCGGGAAATTGTGGAAATTATCCATTTATCTTGGATTAGAGCCCTCCATGCAGCAACAAAATTCAAAAGCCTTCCCCCTACCTGAACGAGTGTGGGTGCCCCTTCATAAGGAGACGGACTTTGGATCTGTCTTAGACAACTTTTGCACCCATGGTCTCCTCGGGTTTTGACTTTGAGCTCTACCTCTAGAGGCTGGGACCTTTGTGTGGAAAAATGACTACCTGGTAAAATGATGGGCCAGAAACTGGAGCTCCTGACACCTTAAAAGAAGGGTGCTTGGATTTCCTTTTAAAGGGTAGAAGAGAACACTTTCCCACTGAAAGCTTTTGGATATATTTGTCCAAACCTTCTCCAAACAGCCGTTCTCCATGAAAAGGAAAACCTGCCAATAATTTTTTTGCATGGCAATTCTGCCGACCAATTTCTGCAGCCACAAAACCATGTGCACTGATAAGAGGGCCAAGCAAGAAATTTGCTGAACTGAATCCTTAAGAGCATCAACCACAAAGCAAAGCACACTGAACCATCCTCCAAATCCTCTGCAAAGTACTCCCCCTGTAACTACAATCTTCCAATCAGTCACTTGACACTGTCAAAAACTGGCAAATGCCAATAGCTTCCGCTGCCAGTTGTGCAGCAGAACCTGCCAGGAGAGACTTCAGCTTCTTATCTGCTGGATCCTTGAATACATGGACATTATCCACAGGACATGTTAAAGATTTATTCAGGGATGAAACTGGTGCATCCACTACAGGCAAACCCCATTTCTTCCATGGGGTACAAAAAAAGAAAACATCTTTGTTGTAACAAAAACACTGTCCGGGTGATCCCAGTCAGCATACATAATTTGCTCCAGAAAAGGATGCACCGGAAAGGCCTGAGTACTCTGTGGAGGCTTCAAAAAGCCCAGAGAAGTAACTTAAAAGATTTCTATCGGAGGTAGCCTGAATCCAGATCGCACCATGTCAGTGAGGTTCTGGACTAAAAATCTCAGAGTGGGAGGCAGAGACCCCCTGCTTCTCAAGCTGTGACTCCTCAGGCAGATTCTACTGCCTGATCTTCCTCCAGTTCTTCCTCATCCTCAGGCTCCATCCTTCCTGCTCCAGGATGGGTGGTTCTAGTGATGGGGATCTATCCTGCTTCTCAGTCCCCTGAGAAACTGATGCAATCATCACAGCCATCTTATCCTCTAACCCTGGTAAGGCTGAAGCAAAATCATTCTTTGTTACATATGCCGAGGCAGATGTCCCAGTAGTAGCCACAATGCCAGATAAACGCAGTGGCTCAGACTGCCCAGTCGCTTCTGGCCTCTCAGGAGAGGATATCACAGTGGACATATGGCTAGGTTCCTCAGGATCTGGCGGCGGCACATTAATGCACCTTCCTGCTGTACCTCCCCCACTCCGCTTTCTGGAAGACATTACTTCAGATATCGTAAAAATCTGTGCACCTCCACTAGTAAGCACAAACCACAAGATACAGTTATGCAAGTAGTGTGCTGAAGAAAAACAAACACTCAATGCAAATTGCTGACCTTTTGAGCCACCAAAAGGTGGCTCCCGACTGTCTGGCCAGCGCTTCCCCCTCAGGGGAGTGCTCATGTGCTCCACTGAATAGCCTGCTCAATGTCACGGCCACAGGAAATTCCTCAGCAGGAGCAGTACACGTGTGCCCAGCCCTGATGATGAACAAATATGGCCGACTTCCATTTCCCGTGCGTGAGCATGGCCGCATTCCCTCTAGCGGTTCAAGACAGAAGAACAAGCAAGCATATCCCGGGAGAAAAAAAAAAAAAAAAAAAAATTCGAGCCCTCTCCCTGGTGGAAACCCAGTCAACTAAGACACCTCTCCTTTTCCCTCCAAATTAGAGCTCTGTGTTCCTCCTCAGAGGACCAAAAGAAAAGAAAAGAAGAAAAAAAAAAATCTTACCAGTCCCGTCGCAGGTCCCTGATTTCCTCCAGGTACCAACCTTATCCCCATCATGGCAGGTATGGTCATACAGACCTCCAAAGACCTGGCCCCCATAATGTGGGGCCACTGCCTCGGACCCATATAGCATCCTGCTGGAAAACGCCTTAGTCAGATTTAAAAACTGCACAGGTTTTCATATGCGTGGGGTCCAGCGCTGTAAGGCTGCATTACAGGCGAAACCCTGAGGATTCTTCTTATCCAGTGAGGCTCGGGTACCATCCATTTTGGCTCACAGCTTTTCAAATGGATTCGATTAAAGACCATGATTCACAAAGGAACTGTATTAGACCTTACGTATGCTCCAGGAGCACAAGCAACACTTTCAGTGACCATCCACCTTATAGACACTGCCGAAAAAACTGAAGTACTTCCTGTGTAGGAGGGGGTTATATAGGGAAGGACCTCCTCTCTGATTGGTTGGCCAGTGTCCATCACCTATAGGTGGCCCACATAGTCATGAATAGCCTGCTCTGTATCCCGTGATGTACGATAAAGAAAAGATGGTGTCATTGTTTTAAAGGGAACAATACAACAATACTTTAACAAAAATGAGCTGCACGGTCGAGTTGGCAGAATGAAGCCTTTACTGCCCGAATGCCACAAAAAAGCCAGTTACAATAAGTTCAAACAGCAACTTCACAGGCATCACAGAGCGAGTGATAGAGATAAAGACAGAGAGAGAGCGCACACACACGGAGACAGACAGACACAGTCATGGTTTGATGCCCACCCTGCCTCCTTGGGCCAATGTAACCCCTGGGCCTTCTGCTCATCCCCTGGTTTGCTACTGTGCAGTGCCACCCTGCAATGCCTTTTATAGTTTTTAGTCAGTAGTATTTATTTTGGTGTGCAATACATTGTTTGAACACAAGATGCTGAGATGTGAAACCCCCTCCCCACCTTGATGAGCAAAACAACATTTAATCGATATACTTTTGCTTTCTGCCATATGTGCAGTAGCAATGTCTTTTGTTGACTATATTAGTAATACTGTATTCAGTACCATGGGATGGGGGGATGTGGGGGGGATTATTCTATGTGGCTGTATTATACAATTAATAAGTGCCCCTTTATTACAGTATTTTTAACATACAATGTTTAATAAATTAAATGTGCTTTTGTCTATACTTTGGTCTTTGTTCATTCCTGATGACCTTTGCACCCTAATAGTCCCATATTTTTTCTATTTTTATGAAACCTGATCCTTGTGACAAACCAGTCAGTCCAGAGACCAGATCAACTTCTCCTGTGATGGCTAATGGCACATTAACAGCCCAGCTAGAGCTCATGCTAACTGTTCCCTCAAAAGACAGTCATGCAAGTATTGAACAATGGGTAAACCATGACAGTGCAGCAGGAGCAATGCTGGAGCCAGAACTTCTTGAAAAACCATGGTGCAGACAAGGGGCTAAAGGGCAGGGTCAAAAACTGGTAGTGTAGGGGCCCCACAACAAAACATGGGAATCATTAAAAGGACTAAAAAGATGAAGGCATAAAGGCAAGCATCCCATTGGTAAAGGGAGGAAATGACAGATTTGGTGGATTATATGTGGAATTTATGGACCAGAATGAAGACATTCAGAGCTTTGAGATCCAAGATAGAGTGGTTTGGGAACTGAACAAGTTGAACTAGACTCCTGAAAATAGATCTTCTACAGGAACTGGGGAAATGATGGAGATGAGAAACAGAGGAGGGATGGGGACAGGACTCTGTAGCTCTTCTCCGAAACACAAGCATTTTAGATGGATACTGTCCAAGCATCTGCAAACGTTAACAAAAACTCCCTTTTCTCCCTGAAAAGTAGAGGTACACTAAGCCAATGAAGACTTGTCTATTTTTGACAGACTGAGTGCCAGACTCTGTGGGTGGAGTGGGAGCCAAGCTTGGGGGTGAAAAGTCTTGACATGGAGGTGCAAAAAATGCAAAAACCAAAGAAACATTTCATAACAGTCAGAGGGAGAAGACTGTAGTCTGTTCCTTAGGTTTTTTCCTGCTGAGGAAGATGGTTGTTTTTGCCACCATTAACATCTTTGATAATATAAGCAGATATAATGCTTCTTGCCAAAGTTTTTGTGGGGTATCAGAGGAGAAGTTTTTGGCAAACGGTCACAAATGAACACTACACCTAAATGCTCCATGTAATAAATTGGCAAGGGATTACCTTCAGCAGTGATTGGATCCCTAAAGGGATTTTGACTTAGCCTGACAAAGTAAAGCAACAACCTGAAACAGGTGTGGGGCAGGGCCCACCGGAGGGAAAAAGGCTCTAGAAGGGACTACCAACAGCTTATTGGTCATGTTCTTGAAAACAGGTGCATCCTCCACTGGAATGGTAAGAGGATTGTTAGGATGGGATATGTCCAGATCTATAATCAGAATAGACCATATTTGCAAACAAGCCCCATCAAATGGGTACAAGGTGGCAAGCGACCTAGGTAAATGAGGTAGCTCCCAGGGTTCATCCCAAATGACCCAGTCACTAAGCGAGTCCTCAGAGACCAGGCAAGCAATGGAGGCAGTCCCTCTGGACCTGGAAAGGGCACTGCAGCTAACGTTTACCAAAATGGAGTCTCAAAAAAAAAACCAAAAACACAACAACAACCAACAACACCCAGTGCATGAAGATCACTTTCAGCTTATCCCTCCATGACCTGTCCAGCACGTTTCAGAGACGAAGCTAAATCAGCTCATAGCGGTGGTGTTTAAAACACAAAACTGAAGAGAAGAAATGGTAGCAAAACTTGTTATTCTCTAACAAAGTTGAAGAAAAGAAATCAATCCTTCTAGTACACCAGCAAAAACCTGAAGTGTGCTGGTGGTAAGAGGGGGTTTTCCAGTGTCCAATGCTCCTCTAGGTGGCAGTATAATGCACAGGTTAAAGACTTCCTCTAGGTCCCTCAACACACCAGAATGAACAGTGTAATATAATGGTTTCCATAGGCTCTTGAACTTTGCACCAATTTGCTATTTTAAATCACTGATTAAGCCTGTAGGAGAACTCTGCTAATAGACACAGGTGCGTGCTTTTTAACATGCTAATATAAAAACAAGTAAAAACAATAAGAGGAGCTACAGGGTTTGTTTTTTAATTTGAAACAATTGTGGTAAAAAAAAAATTAAAAATTGATCACCTTGGGGTGTCTTTTTTTTTTTTGAAAGTGTAATTTTGGGGATTTTGAACTATTTTGGCATTTTTATTTTAACAAAAAGTGAAACTTTCGGAGTGTTTGGTCAGGTAGTCTTAACTCCTAAACAGATTGTATATTTACATTCATAGGCAAGGTACAAAGTGACACAGATGATCCAAGTAGTTATGCGTATAGAAAAACAGATATTTAGGGAACTAGAAAAAAAAAAAAAAAAAATGAATGAATGACAAATGGCATTCCTGACATATTTACCTTGTTGAACCACTGGCTCCACAACTACACCTTTCCGGCTACTTTTATTCCATTTTCTTACCAGGAACTTTAACCTGGAATACAATGCAAACGTATATTGAAGCTCACAGTAAACAGTTGATTTCTTTGCCTTCTAAAAGCCCCATACTTTTCTATTTTCGCGAAACCTCCCTTGACATAAAAAAACAAGTGACTCAGGAGTGTGGAACTAAACGTTACAGTCCAATCATGTACAGAAGGACATTATCAGTCATATCTGTACCTGGAGATAGCAATTACAGCGCGTACAGCTGATCGAAATTTGGTAAGGCCTGACTGGCATTTGGCAGGATACTGAAGGTCCATAGGTGTTGGGTACACACCCATACGTGCAATCAAGGACAATGTTGCTTTTTCACAGGCCTGGAATCCTCCTAAAAGGAGCAATAGGTATTTTTTCTGGTATACTAGGGCTTTCCGGAAGCTCTCTGCTCTGAGGAATTTCCTGTACAGACGCTGCATCTAAAAAAAAAAAAAAAAAAAAACATAAGACATTTAAGTTAAATTAGATGTAAACACTATACTTCAATAGACTCTTCAGAAAAAGTTAAACTGGGTGATGGTGGGGAGGGTTGTAGAACTGTCCACTGCTCAATTTGCACAGAAGAAATTAGGTCTCTGTCCTTGGATATGAGTAGCACTGCTGAGACAGATTGCCTTGATAGAGAGGAGAGTAATTCAATGGACAAAATCCGTCTTCATAACTTAGTGGGGGGGGATTTTGACTTGCCTGAAAAGTCCCATATATTGGAGCGTGATATTCATAGATCCTGGGTTATAGGCTGGAATTTCTAGGTAATGTGGCACTGGAAAGCTTTTGGAGGACATGTCCCTGGGTTACCCACCTATAACCCTATCGCTCTTCCTTAGTCCACTGTTTTGTAGCAAGCAATGCTAAATAACCAGGAATAGAAGGGAGGGTGGTTTGTGCCTTGTACTGTACTCCAAAAGATACAATTTACAGCCAACTCAAGACTCCTTTTAAGGTAATTGTAAGGCACAGGACACAGGTTGAAATTCATAGACCCTGGGACATCTCCAGGGTGGGCAACTAGGCAAACGGAACTGTGCCTTCAGACCCAACAAGGGTCAACAAACCCAATTTCAGAATGAGGCTGCAAGAACCTTGCAGCAAAAAGTTGTATCCGCAGATGGTTGTAAGTCAACTGTGTAATGTGTTCCCACGTTTTTAAGGAGGAATAGGCAGCCTCCAGGCATACCCTGTCCTTAATTCATCCTTTGCTATATATGTTCCAAAATGGACACTCATTATAAGAGTTAAGACCATACTTTACAGAGGCGCTTCCATTAGGTAGCGCAACCTTCACATATCTGAAAATGTGTGTAACGAAAACCTTTTTTAATCACTTGCCCGCCAAAGGATTTACCCCCCTTCCTGACCAGGCCATTTTTTGCAAGACAGTGCTGTATTATTTTAACTGATAATTGCGAGGTCATGCAACGCTGTACACAAATGAAATTTCTTTTTTCCCTCCACAAATAGAGCTTTCTTTTGGTGGTATTTGATCACCTCGCCACTGAGGATTTTTATTTTTTTTATAGTGCAAAAGACAACTTTTTGCTATTAAAAATGTCCCGAAAAAAAAAAAAAAGTAAAAAATCAAATTTCGTCATACATTTAGGCAAAAATTAATTCTGCTACATGACTTTGCTAATAATATAAAAAAAAAAAAAAAAATCCTAATACGTGTAATTTATTTGGTTTACGTTAAAGTGATAGCAATTACAAATGGTGGTATACTGTATATATACTGAGATTATTTATTTTTTTTTTAAATACTAGTAATGGCGATGATCAGCAACTTATAGCGGGACTGCGACACTGGGGGGGAGTGATCAAAGGGTTAACTGTGTGCTGTTTTACTGTGTAAGCATATTGCTTTGTATTGCTCTGCTCTATGCAGAGAAATACAGAGTAATGTGCAGGAACTGATAGCGGAGAGATCTGTATTGTTTACATACAGGCCTCTCCGCCATCGGTGACACCAGGTGCTGACGGGAAATCACTGGCCGGGACCCAGTGATTGACAGGTTAGGGCACCAATGGTGGCATGGGTAGGGTGCGCGCCCCCTACCTGGAAATGCAAAATCACGTGTGTGTGTATATATATATATATATATATATATATATATATATACACACACACACACACACACATATATATACATACATACACACACAGTATATACACACACACACACACACACACACGCACGCGCGCACGTGATTTTGCGCACCCCTGCCACCCTGTAGCAGTATTTCTGCTATAAGGCAGCGGGAAAGCGGTTAATGCAAATTGTTAGACAGTGATATTTTGTTTTATTTGTAGACTAGCTGCGAAGTCTGCTGCGAAGTCTTGTTTGTTTAGATTCATCAGGTCTCTTGCCCTGAAAGAAGCATGGCGAGATAGGGATTCAAGTGTGACAATGCTGGGGGCTTTTGTGTAAAGCAGTAGTGAACTTAACAGTAACATTAGGGGCATAGTAGCCTAAAGCTGAAAAATCTTCTGCAGCCTTCTCTTCATCTCTTCTATGTCTTCCTCTTCTAAGGTGTGATATCAGGATTGACCTCGGTTAGAGATGGTGGACCTGGAGAAGAAGCCTGGAGCTTTTGAACCCTGCATGATGATGGCTGTATTAAAACCATTAGTTGTCTGAGGAATTGTGACTTAACTGAAAAAAGTCTGCTTAGTCCGTTAGGACACTTGTTGCATGCCCAAGATAGAGCTAGATGGCGCGTAGAGAGCAGTCCTGAAATCAGGTCCTACTACAGTCCAAGGGAAGCTATGTCACTAGGAGATGGAATGTTTTGTGGAGCCAATTCATTGTGGGGTACTCAGAGTAGGTTACAGAAATAGGGTAAGTGCATCTGAGAAGGAAGATTCAGCAACCTGGGTGCAGACCACCCTGTAACGAAGACGTCCTTGCAAATTGAGCATCTTTTAAAGGGCTCTAGACGGAAGTGGTGGTAAAGTATGCAACCTGTGTGACCACCTAGCCATCCACCTGAGACTAAACTTTGAGTGGCCAAGTTTGAAAAGTTTACACTCTCATAAAAGTGAATACATTCCAAACACATTCACATTTTTTTTCTAGTAACAGTCAAAAACAGGGTGACCCCATCTTACCTGTCCCCATTTCAGGTCCCTATATAAAGCTCCAGGCTCTGTCCGTCACAGTGGGCATATTCCCAGAGGAGGCATCTTCAGGGTCTGGGTTCCATTGGGGTTGACCATGGCCCTGGACATGTATAGTTCCCCGCGGCTAACTACATTCATTGCACAATGTGCCAAGGTGAAGACCTTTGCAGGAGCAAACGCTGAAAACATTACAGGCCACCCCTATTATGAGGTATGAGTACAGTTCTCAAGGTTTTACTGAGGTTGCACTGATCTGGAAGCACTGCTTCTAGCGTTGTATTAGGAGTGAGGACTTGATTAAAGAAAAACTCATTAAGCTGAGAGATTTCTCTGTAAAGAGATCCATCACTTTAGGAGACTAGCAAAATACTGAGGACTCACAGAGTGGGGTAGGGTTAGAAAGGGGATGATCAGGATGTGTCCTCAAAAGCTTGCCGGTGTCCATTGACATGAAAGTACCAACCTGTTAACCAGGATCTATGAATACTCAAGCCTGTGTCCTATACTGTAAAATTATGAAACACCATTGCAGAGTTTCACCCACCTTATTAAAGGGCAGCAATTACCTGGAAGAAGCTAAAATGTTGGTCTTCTAACTTCACTAGCTGCCAATTTGAGGACTGTGACTCACTGTATAGTGAAGGTGGAAGATCAGCACAATAGCTAGGCAACTAAATGGCTTTAGAAAAAGTCGAATGGCAACACCATTTTTATTTCTCATGCCAGGTTCAATTTAAACAAATCTACTAGCATCTGTTTAAAAATATATAGAGGTAGCAATAAAAATCACCAGCAAAAAAGGGGATTATACTATATGGTGCTGAGCACCCAGTAAATGGTAAGAGAAAATAATATCCAAGAGGTTTCCATCCCTATAGCAACCAGGAATCCATACCTTAGAACTTGAAACATCAGACAGAGGCTTGTTCTCAAGGGTTGCCTTGCCCTTCTCAGACTCTGCATTTTTTAAAGCAATCTGCAAGAGTCTTTTTTCACGGTTCCAGACTGCTCTTTCAGCCTCCAGCACAGATTCTACAGAACCTGAATGCAGCTGTTGAAAAATAAAAAGCGAAGAACTGATCAGTGCACAAACATTTTAGAAAAGCTTTATAAAAAGTGGCACAGGCAATTTTTAAATATTTTTCATATTTATATATGTAATGTAACAGTTTTATTCCTTATAGAAACTCACATCATTCTGACCTATTGTTTTGAATAAATTTTAGCTTGAGGTAGGGGCGGAGCTGGCCCCGACATGTGAGCAGCAAGAAGAGCGAGCTCCACCTGAGACTCAGTGACCTTGTTAAGATTCTGTGAGCAGTGTCTGCATAATTTGCTCTCTTCATTTCCTGTTTATACCCAGACTCTCCCTGTGTGTGAGGCGACATGGTGAAAATCAGGCAGGAGGCTGATAAAGCTCTGGAAGATAGGCTGGCGCACTTTGACTGGGGATCCCAAGATGGTGGCGGCGGCCGTGTGGACTGGGAAGAGGTTGGTTTGCCACAGCGCAGGAAGGTGGATGAGGGTGCTGCTGCCGCCTTGGAAAAGGTGAGCCCACTACTCAGGCATGACCATTCCTTGCCAAGGGGAAACACCCCCCCCCCCAAAAAAAAAATGAAATTGAATCGAACATGCTCTGTCGACACACTCTAGACAGAAAGGGGAAGAGGACCCGGAAACCCTCGCTTAAACAGATTATGGATGCCATACACTTGTGCCAGTCTACTTTGACCGACCATATTGAGGATCTGAAGCTTGACTTTTCATTTAAGAAACAGGATATGCAAGCTGTTAAGGAGTGTGCTGCAGCCGATGAACGGCTTGGAGGATAGTGTCTGTCCATTGGTATCGGAGGTGCCCAGGTTTCTAGGAAGGCCCTAGCCGAGTACTCTGCTAAAATGGCGGATATAGAAGACTGGCTGTGACGGATCATCATCAGGCTGGTGGGCTTTCCAAAGGGGGCGACATCCTGAGGAATGCTTGGAGCGCTTGCTCCGGGAGAATATGGAGGCTACTACTATTACACAGCTGTTCGCTATTGAGAGAGCTCATCGCATTCCAACTTGGACTCCCCACAGACCTCAAACCTATGTCTCTACTTTAGTTAAGAGGTTTGAACCTTCACTTTGTATTGTGGACCTATAAGAACTGTTTTTGTCTGCCAGCCTACTAAGATTTTTGCGGCCTCCCCGGAGTTCCTGAAGCCCTCCCCTGGTTAGGTTTCTAGTTAAGGGAGTCAAGCCCTTGGCAGTTTGGAACTGGATGCGGGGTGGGTGGATTGTTTGGCTGTGTTGTTTTTTTACTTTTCTTCTTAGTTTGATTGTTTTTATGTGCTTGTTATACTATGGGGTGACTCTCCCCACCTTACTGGTTTGGCGTCTGGAGATGGATGTTTTGTGGCTGGTGGTGAAAGGGTTAATCATTCACTTTTGCGTTGTGCCTGCTAACTGGTTTATTTTACATACAAGATGTTCCTGTGGGATTTGAATGCTGTTATCCATGTACACATTTCTTGTTTTGAGAAACTGCAAAAGCTACTACCCTGTTGCATTTTTTGTTATGACATACCAGAGTGGTTTACTGAAATTTTTTTCCTGTATTCTGATTGGTGCTTCATGGAAACTGCCTGAAATATGCAGTGTTATCATTTATTACTTAAAGCTTGATCAAAAATGAAGTTGAATTTTGCGTCACACATCTAGGTGACTGAATTGCATTATTCCCAAAGTACTTTGAACTGGATGTTTGTATGGCGGAGGCCGGCATAAATTGATATTCCTAACAGTGGTATCTATAGACACTGTGCTTTTGCGTGGGTCTTGCTGAGGCTTCCCTCTTTTCCTTTTTTGGCATCTGTCTTATTTTAGGTGGCTAGAGTTATTTTAGGTTTATGGCTCTTTCCTGCAATGTGTGAGGCCTTAATTCTAAATTTAAATGCTCATTGGCAGATGCCACTTTAGACAGGGAAGAGGGCACCTTGGGTTCTCCTACTCCCTTTGAGGTGTGGTTGTCTACGTATGGTTTTCATGATGTTTGGAGATTTAAGCATCCAGATACTAGAGTACTCTTGTTTTTCTAAGACGCTTTCTCATATAGACACCATACTTGCCAAGTAGGAGGGACTACACTTTGTGAAGTCAATTAAATACTTACCCCATGCAATCTCAGATCATTCCCTCATGGAACTGTGCCTTAATTTAGGCTTCCGCCGGGTAATTTGCCACTGGCGGATGGAGGCCTCTTGGTTTCAGGAGGAACAGTGTACACATGCTCTTAATCATCATTGGGATGAGAACAGCCAATGTATGTCACCTTTAATTCAATGCAATGCCTTTAAGGCTACCCTTAGAGAAGTGTTAATTCCACTGACAGATGAAAGAACCAAACCTAAAAGGTATCAGTTTTTATTATCAGAGCATTTGCACAAGTACCGATACTCATGCAAATGCTCAGTATAGGCACTGATACCTGTATCGGTGCAACCCTACATTATACCTGCAGTAGCTCCTGTCTACAGTGGGGAGTTTTAAAATTACATAAACTGGTGCTGTGAAAAAAAAAAAAAAAAAAAAAGAAACAAACAAAAACATCAGGAGCCAAAACAGCATTCCTCCTGAAATTATTGTAACTTCAGAGCTCTGGAGCCTTAGTGTTCAGATAAAAAAAATTGGCATAGTTCATTTAATCCCTTTAGAGTTTTGCTTTAAAAGTGTAAGAGATTTGAAGAATTTATCAAATTTCCTTTAAAGTGGACCTATTCTCACTCAAATCACTGTCAATTTAGCTGGAACAATATAATGCCTAATCGTGTTCCACCTTTTCTGGAGAAAAAAAAAATGAAGGCATCCTTCAGTGCTTGGCATGTGAGCCTGGGCATTTGGTCACGTTATTTCTTATGAAAGAATTCAGCCTGTCTGAAGTCTAATCCTTTCAATGAACAGATAATGGGACAGATTATTGTATTTATGCTGATATACAGCCTCTGGGGGCTGTGCCTAGAATTTAAAAAGTATATAGCTTGGTACATAAGAAGAAGAGGTGGGCAGCAGGTATTTCTCAGCACAGAAAATATGAGCAGTGGGGACTGTAGAAACAGAGAAGCTGTTGGGGAATAATCTTTATCTTTTGGAGCAAATGTGGAATTACCCTTTAAGCACTGGTCGAATTCCATTTTTAACAAGGTTCACAATCTCCAAAATACCATGACCACAGCTTACCTGTTCCTTATTCTCTTTATATGAAGACTCTTGTGAGCTTCTGCAGAGTTTAGCAAGCTGACTTCTGAGCTCCAATTTCTCTTTAGTCAGTTGAGACACCGTAGTTGCAAGCTCTCCTCGTTCTCACGTTTGAGAACATCAACCACAGTGGAAGGTGATGGAACAGATGTCTACAGAAAGAAAATGTTAAACTAGCAATTCTGAATAAAGAGGCAACTAAATAGTCTAGAAGGCACAATACAGAGGCAGGAAGAACATGTAAAAAGGAAGGTAAGTAGATCAAGAAAAAAAAAAAAAAGCAAAAAAAACAAAACATAAAAAAAAAACCTGAAGATTTCCTCTCTGCAGCTGTAACTTCAGTTCAGCCAAAGAGTCCAGCAAAGCTGTCACTTCTGCCTCATTAGGGAAGCCTTGGTGTGCGCTGAAAAACAATACATTGTCAATCATTATTATTTAATGCACTAGTCCAGCTCATAAACTACCTTCTAGCACAAACAAAAAGCAAACAAAATTACCTGTCGCTCTTGTTCTGCACCCATTTTTTAACTTGTAGTACAGTGTGAAGTAGTTGCTGCCAGACTCTCTGCATCTGACTGATCAGTGAACCCACATTTTTTAGTGGGGCTGGCTGCGTCTGTCCAGGCTTGGTTCTTTCTTGAAGCCAATGCACGTTCTTGTTCTTCCAAATCAGCCAGCATGTGCTGCAACTCCTGGATACGACGCTTATCACGGTCATGTTGTAACTGCAAGTCCTATGTGAAGAAAATTAAGAGTATTGTAGATAAAAATTTGGATACAACCTCGTGGTGTTCATTAAAACTGCCTAGTTCAAAGTTGAACTCCAAGGCAAAAAAAAACGAATTTAGATCTATTCCTCAATGGCCACAAAGGATATAAATACATATAGTGTCCCAATTACATTTGCAAACCCAGAATATAAATTGCAGAGACAATATCGCTGCTATCTGAGCACAACTATGGCTGGGACTGAGTAGGTCCACCTACTACAGGCTGCCTGCTGAATATCAGAAAAGGGGGACAGACAGATAACCAGTTACCCTGCAGAGGAGAGAGCAGCAGTGACTGGTCCTAATTATAGAAATTGTCTGCACAGAGGCAAAGTGCAGGAGTTCTCATACAGAATTACTGCACAGATCTGGCAGAAATACATTAAAGATAACAAATTTCAAGCAATACACAAGACTTTTAGCCAAATATGGGCAACATGATCAGTTATAAAATTTAAGTTAATACTAAAACCAGCCAGCAAAAGTATGCTATTTGTTCTTGGTAGAAACATTTCTTGAACGGCTTATAGCAAAACCCAAACTACCGTTCCCTGTATACTCCCATAGTGAAATCATGAAAATAGAAAGTTTGTCACATTGGCAATGTGGGCGCAGGCATAATTTTGCCAGCGACAATATAGGTCAGTGTTTTGGGAACCAACGAAGCAGCTTCTAATTAAGTGGCAGCTGCACCTTAGTGACTGCCACCAACAGCAGAATTACCAGTGAAACAAGGAATTAGCACAGGAAGAAGAAACTAAAACATAAAAATTAGCAATTTCAAATAAAGCAGAATGAGAGTCATATCTACTGATTTCTGGCCTCGAAAACTGCCTGTAAGACAACATTGGGAGTCACTGCCACATGCCGCACACCTAGTTTATAGTTCTTACCATTATCCGCCTTTCCTGCTCTTCTTCTCGTGCTCTGATAACTTCTGCCTGCTTTGACCTAGTAATTTCTTTTTCACATTCTTTTGCCCGCACTCTTTCCTCCTCCTGAAAGATCAGTAACTGAGCTTGGTACTGATCTCGCTCCTTCTGCAAACGAATTTCTCGCTCTTTCTGCTGCTCCAACACACTGTCCAGTTGCTGTTTTTGACTTTGCAAGGCCTCTAAAAGTGCACGGAGTTTAACTGTTGCCTCCCGCTCTTTTTGCATTTCCTCGCGGCAGGCTTGAACTTCAGATTCTAGCTGACTCCTTGCATCAACAGCTTGTTTCTGTGTCTTTTCCATCATAGCACCAAGGCCTCTGGCAGAGCGTCTTTCCTCTTCCAGCTGATTTTGTAATGTTAACACTACTTTACGTTCTTGATGCCTCTCTTCCTCCTGTCTGCAAAGCTCTTGGCTTTGCTGTTGTCTAAGTTGCTCCACAACATTACGCTCAAGGTTCAAGGCACTTGACAAACTTAATGAATACTGCTTTTCCTTCTCCAGCTCAGTCTCCGTCTCAGACAGTTTCTTGTGCTCCTGAGCAAGAAGAGCCTTACATCGAGATTGCTCTATTTCAAGTTCTTTCCTCAGATTACTAGCGCAAGTCTGTTCTTGTAACAAAGCTGCAGAAATCTTAGCATTAAGCTTCTTGTGCTCTTCCAGTGACAAAAATGACTCCTACAAAAATAATAAAGGAAATTATAAATTTAAAAGTATGACAAGAAATCTGAATACTTAAAAATTGCCTAGCTACAAGTATTAACAGGAAATAAAGCAGCGCTCTTCAAAGTAATATATCTCTAGATAGTAGTCTTAATGAGTGAACACAATAAAATAAATATAACAAATACATATAGCAACAAATTAAATATATAAAAATTAGTGCAAATTGGAAAAGAAAAAAAAAAAAAAAATCAATGCAGAGAAAATATATATGAACTAGTGTCCAACTGAAAATCCATAGTGCAAAGAATATATAGTGTAAAAAGTATATATAAATTATTAATACGCGATCCAATAAATCTTCTTAAACTTTTCTCAAATAATATAGAAAAAAAAAAAAACGTGAAAAAATCCACCACCAAATGAATTGAATTCACTCACCAGAGCTCCATGCTGGTAAGGTTATAAACCAGCTAAAACACACTTGTGCTCTGGGAGCAATAATCTGCAGCAGCACATATCAGCTGATAGGTAATCCTTCAACGAGTAATTGGCTCCTGATAGACTTAAAAGAACTTTTCAGGTATCACCCGCTGCTCCTATATGATCAGAAACTCCTTCACATAGTACTTGCTCCTCATATAACCAGAATTGTACATGGAGAAAGAAGAAAAGGAATCCACATAGTGTAAAACCATAAAAGGCTTTATTCAATGTAAATCGTATTAAAACCACTCCCATAGATCTGTGTCAGAGCCAACACTAGCATCACAGGCATGATCACTTTGACAGATGCTGCTCCGGTCTAAGCAGACAGCAGCAGCTCACCCAAACGTGGTGACGTCACATCCGAAGCCCCGCCTTATGCGTTTCGTCATTCGACGTCCTCCAGAAGCGGAGCTTCGTAGGGCGTGGCTTCGGATGTGACGCCACTACATTTGGGTGAGCTGCTGCTGTCTGCTTAGACCGGAGCATCACCTGTCAAAGTGATTGTTCATGACTGTGATGCTAGTGTCGGCTCTGACACAGATCTATGGGAGTGGTTGTAATACGGTTTACATTGACTAAAGCCTTTTACGGTTTTACACTATGTGGGTTCCTTTTCTTCTTTCTCCATGTACAATTCTGGTTGTATGAGGAGCAAGTACTATGTGAAGGAGTTTCTGATCATATAGGAGGGGCGGGTGATATCTGAAGTTTTTAAGTCTATCAGGAGCCAATTACTCGTTGAAGGATTACCCATCAGCTGATATGTGCTGCTGCAGATTAAGTTTAGGATTTATTGGATCACGTATTAATATATACTTTTTACACTACTTATATTCTTTGCAGTATGGATTTTCAGTTGGACACTAGTTCATATATATTTTCTCTGCACTGATTTTTTCAATTTGCACTGATTTTTATATATTGAATTTGCTGCTATATGTATTTGTTATATTAACTTTATTATTTGTGTTCACTCATTAAGATTACTATCTAGAGATATGTTACTTTGAAGAGCGCTGCTTTATTTTTCAGTTTAGATTACCCTGTTCCACAGGGGCTAGTTAGCAGCTCTTCCTAATATATCTGTTGGACATATGAACATTTATTTTTATGTGATTTTTTGAGGTAATATTGGTTCCATAGGCGGTTTCCCCAAATTGTTATTACAAGTGTTAACAGGGCTTATACAGTTTGGGCCATATATATTTGGACAAGGGCACAATTTTAGATTTTTTCAGGTATTTACCAAAACATATTGAAGCTATAGTTATATATGTATATAGGCTGAAAGTGCACAGTCACGGGTTTAATTTGAGGGTATGTACATCCAAATTAGAGGAAGGGTTTAGGAATTACAGCTTTTAAGAGTAGCCATCCCCCATTTTTCAAGTATACAGTATACTCTAAGCAATGCAGAATTCATCCGGCTGCTTCTGTCTGTCACATCAACACCAATGACCCAGTGCCACTGCAAGCCATGCATGCCCATGCTATCACACTGCCTCCACCATGTTTTACAGAGGATGTTGAGTGCTTTGGATCATGAGCTATTCCAAGCCTTCTCCACACTTTTCTTGCCGGAATTCTGGTATAGATTAATCTTGGTTTCATCCATCCAAAGAGAGCTTTTTCAGAACTGGTCTGGCTTTTTTAGATGTTTTTTGGCAAAGTCTAATCTGGCTTTTCTATTCTTCAGGCTTACGAATGGTTTGCACCTTGTGGTGAACCCTCTGTATTTGCTCTTGTGAAGTCTTCTCTTGATTGTAGACTTTGACAATGATAACGCCCTCCTCCTGGAGAGTGTCCTTAACTTGTCTGGATGTTGTGAATGGGTTTTTCTTCAACAGAGAGGATCCTGCGATCATCCACCACTGTTGTCTTCCAGGGACGTCCATGCCTTTTTATGTTGCTGAGTTCACTAGGGCGTTCTTTCCTCAGAATGTACCAAACTGTTGATTTGGCCACTCCCAATGTTGCTGCTATCTCTGATGGATTTGTTTTGTTTTTGAAGCCTTACAATGGCCTGTTTCACTTGCATGGACAGCTCCTTTGAATGCATGATGTAGGTTCACAGCAATAGATTCCAAATACTAATACCACACTTAGAATCAACTACAGACCTGCTTAACAAATCACCTGCTTAACGGATGAAAAAATACCAAAGGCGTAACCCACACCTGGCCATGAAACCGCTTTTGATTCAATTGTCCAGTTACCTTTGGTCCTTTGAAAAAGGGTGGATGGCTAATCTTAAGAACTGTAATTCCTAAACCCTTCCTCCAATTTGGATGTACATACCCTCAAATTAAACCTGAGAATGTGCACTTTCAGTCCATATCCATTATACAACTATAGCGTGAATAGGTTTTGGTAAATACCTTAAAAAAATTAAAAAAAATGTGCCTGTGTCCAATTATATATGGACCTAACGCTATATTCTTCTGCTTAGCCAAGAGTAGGCTGTTAAAAGTGTAAGTGAAGACTGATTAACAAACTACCAACTCCATGCTGTTAGTCAAATGGTGTAGAGCTCAGTGGACAGTATGTAAGACAGGGCGACTACGGAACTACAGGTCTAACTAAAAGCTGAATGGATACAAATGAAGTGTTCCAGCACGGATCTGCTTCTGTGCTCAGCATATTTAGGAACTGACAGTCATCACAGAGGACAGGAGGGCACTCTTTAAATCTGGAGGAAAAGAGATTTAATCTCCAAATACGGAAAGGTTTCTTCACAGTAAGAGCTGTGAAAATGTGGAATAGACTACAAGAGTTGGTTGCCAGCTCAGCACATTGCTTTTAAAAAAGGCCTGGATTCTCTCTCAGATACACATAATATAACTGGATACTAACATTTATAGGTAAAGTTGATCCAGGGAATATCCAATTGCCTCAGGGGGGGGATCAGGTAGGAATTCTTTTCCCTGCAGGAGCAAATTGGACCATGCTTTGCTGGGGTTTATTGCCTTCCTCTGGAAGAACTGTGGGTATAGGATTATAACCTTTTTTTTTTTATGGTTGAACTAGATGGACCTTTGTCTTTATTTCAGTCAGATTAACTATGCAACTATGACAGGAAGCCAAGGGGGCTATAGGAATTCAAGTGGGTGAATTCAATAGTGTTACTGAACCAATATTTGGATTATGAGGGACAGCAGTGTAGTTCCAAAGTTTTAGTATTAAGGTGAACATATTCTAAAGCTAATGCGCCCTAATCACCATTTAGTCCATTTTTCAAGCCTCTAGTCATGGACTGAGCCTCTAAAGCCAAGCCACTGCAGAATATGTTGGAATAGACCCATCTTTCTCATTCCGATCTCAAATGAGCTGCACAGCCCCACTACTGAATAAAGAGTAAAAATGTCAACATGCAACCACTGCTTTAAGCACTTTTGCTGGGAGCTTGCTGCAAGGATTCTTGTTGGATGTAGCATAACACTGCAACACCTTCTGCACTATACTACTGAAATAAATTAGTAATGCTGGCAAAGACGCTTGCATAAAACATTCTGGATTTACACATGCGTAGAATAAAACAATCCAAGACTCTCTCAGTTCAAGTGGACAGAGGTACTGATGCGACTGTCTCATTGTGGCGAGTCGTTGCAGTATGGTTATTTATGGAGCTGTGCTTTAAGCAGAAGATGCAAGTGGAACCCAGGTAAATTTTATGTGTTTGTACCTCCACTTTTCCATACTTTTTACATGACTGTATACGTTTTGTACAAGATTTCAGAATTGTCAGAAAGGGGAGGAGGAAGGTGGGGTTGTGATGTATTGGTTTGTAACCAAATATGTCTGAAAAACTGGATTAAATTGGTCATTACTCTTCCAACAAAGCCAGCATTTGATTTGAAATTGAGGCACAATACCTCGGGAGTAGCATTTAACAAAATAAAGGTAGTTACACACTTTAGCATAAACTCATACCAGTTTTCTCAGAAATGTATATGCTATGTAAAGTAAAAAATTTTTTTTTTCCTTTTTAATTCCAGAGTAGAAACAATTGAGTACTGTCCGTGATACTTTTTTTATACTTTTTTTTTTTATTTGCACTAACATACAATTTTGAGGACAAGCTTTCGGGGTATGTCTCCTTCTTCAAGGTCTAAGCAGTACTATTACAAATCACAAAGTTTAAGCAGAATGTTAAAAGGGATTGAGAAAAAAAAAAAAAGGGCTACAGATAAGATACTGCTTATCTTGGTATCTTATCTGTAGCCCTTTTTTTTTTTTCTCAATCCCTTTTAACATTCTGCTTAAACTTTGTGATTTGTAATAGTACTGCTTAGACCTTGAAGAAGGGGACATACCCCGAAAGCTTGTCCTCAAAATTGTATGTTAGTGCAAATAAAAAAAGTATCACGGACAGTACTCAATTGTTTCTGTCGGTCGCACTAATACGGCTACAATCACCTAATTCCAGAGTAGAAAATCATCTACAGTAGAGCATAATCACCACCCTTTTTGCTCTATGCTGACTGTGCCACATTGAGAAGATTTCTCTTGCAGTTAAGTACAAACAG